TAAATAAAACATAACACTAAGTGGAAAGAAATAGAAAACACGATGACCTGCATTATTATTATAATAATAACCTACTATTATTATAGTAGGACCACAGTTCCTACTGTGTGCTGAGACACCCCAGGGTGCCATAGTGAATTTTCAGGGGGTGCTACAAGGTATTTTAAAGTTTTGAGAGAAACACATGGACACCAATATGTCAGATATCTCATGAACAATTCAAGAAACCTTAGAGTTTCAACATTGGGTTGCCCTTTTCTTTCAAAGATTTCTCTTTGCAAAGCTGAATTTATGGTAATTGCAAATACCCAGCAAAAATGATTGTGCATCAGGAAATTCAGGTGACAGCGTCCAATGGATAAGGTTTACAGAGGTGCGCAGGGACTAACAGACCCAGACATCCTATTAGTAAGTAATTGCAGTTATTTAGTAATTAAATTAAGGGGATTTCCCCCCCAAAAGTGCTACTAAGTTGTCAGGACATAAGCACTTAAGCTGCTTGGCCCTAATAAACAGAATTTTTATGTATTTCATTTGACCAAGGAGTGCCATGAAAAAATTGCTGAGACTGGGGCAGTGCCTGTGGCTCAAAGGAGTAAAACTCCGGCCCCATATGTCAGAGGGAGCGGGTTCAAACCCAGCCCCGGCCAAAAATTGCTGAGACGCTAAGAGAGTTCAGGAAAGTCTGGGTCAGGGATGCACAAACAGACCCAGAAAATCAGCTTGAGGAAGGGGCAAGCTGTGGCTGCCATGCTCCAGGGGGCAGTCCCTGAACAGGCTCACGCTCCAGGGGTCTGGGTGCTGTATAACTGTCTCCATCACTGCAGAAAAGAGACATGCGAGGTGGTGACTTGGCCAGGTGGTGCAGGAGTAGGTTCTCATCTGTGGCTTGGAGGCTGGGGTAGGGACGGTGCTCAGGGAAGACACCAACCAGCTCTTTCCGCCCTCTGCTCAGAACTCCTCGGCTGAGTCTCTGCTCAGAGCGCCCGCCAAGGCACCCGCCTCCTGGTCTCTTCCTGCAGGCGTGGTCCGGGGACCCCAGCGTTCCACAGCCTGTCCCATATCCCTTTAACAACTCAATGCTGTCAGAAAGGCAGCAGGGGGCGGCCAGTGCTGTCCAGGCGTTCATCAGCTCTGCCTCCTTTGTTCGAAACGTAAGCGGCCACACCCTTAGGAGGATGCCCAGGCCCTTTGGTTAACTGAGGGATGTCCGCAGGTCCCCTCTCCAGCTCCTGCTCACCAAGCTGCCAGCCCACTTCTTAGGGGTAATGTGAAGTGTCACCCCTCATTCAGCCTGGCCTGGCCCTCTCTCCTCCCAGACTGTAGGGCAGTCACTGCTCCTGCGTCACTGCAGCCGTCTGACCGGACGTCATGCTGGGGCAGCCCTGCGGGTTCCGGCCCTCCAGGATCCGCACACCAGTCCCCAGCACACCCTCCGGCTTCCTTTCCAATGAGTGCTCTTGCTGCCCGCCCTGGGGCAGCTGCCTCGGGTAATCTGTGGCTAAAACAAGCTTCTTCCTCACTCTTTCCCACCTGTCTCACCCTCCCTAAAACAAACCAGGGCCCCTTAAGACAAATATGCAGACCCTGGTTGTAGGACACTGCACCCCAATTCCAGCCAGTCAGCATCCCAGGTCTTAGCTCTTCATGGCAAGACCCTTCCAGGGGACTGAGAAGCTCCCACACCCTCCCCCCCGCACCCCCACTTGGCCCCAGGCAGATGCAGGAACTTTTGCTCCCCACAGCCACCACTTTGGCACCTCACCTGAGGGTCTTCCTCTTGAACCACACTGCCTTTGTTGGCCACCAGGACCCCCTCCAACCCCGCCCCACCCTACCACCCACTCTGTTGCTGCCAGTGCTCCCAACACTGTTCAGTGGCCCTAGCACAGGGCCCCCTCCCACTGGAGCTGGGGGTGGGGGTACAACAGTGAGCCACGCTGAGTGGTCAGGGCAAGGTCAAGTGTGAGAAATCGTGGCTACCAGGTACGACCCTGCGCAAGGACATGGATGGACAGGGCTGCAGAAAGAGCAGGAGCCAACCACTTAAAAACATTCCTCTCCAAGGCTGGACTTCAGCAGGGACACTGGGACACTCCTTGACATCCACAGGGAGGTGTGGCTGTCAGAGATCCCAGAGGGTGTGGTCCTGTCCTGCCCAGCCTTGCAGCCAGCCTTGCTTAAGCCTAGGTCAACCAGTGAACTGGTGGGTAAGAAGAGGCTGAGGACCAAGACGCTGGAACTGGACAAAACAAGGGGACTGTGAGCAACATAATGGTCAAGATGTGGTGACACATCTGGCACTCACACGTAATTGGCTCTTCTTTTTAATGTAATATTTGTTACACCCAGAGAACAGACATAACGAGTTATCACCCATAAAAAGCCACCCACAGCAGGAGCCCCTGGGACCCCTGTGCATCCCCCGCAGTCCTTCCGCCCTTGCTGTTACTGCCTAATTTATGGCAGCTTTGCTTTCTAACAGCCTCATTGCATGTTGTCTTCTGTGACATTGGACACTGCTGTAACAATCACTGTGGCACATACACCCGCTCTCCTGTGGCTGGACACTATGGCCATCTCCAGTCCTTCCTGCACGCCCATGCAGCACAAGTCCCAGGCAGGCCCAGGTGCCCTCCAGTCCACAGGCCAAGCAGAGCCAGGGGCTCTCCCCCACCCAACATGCCACAGGAACCCCCCCCTCCTCCCATGGCTTGCTTCTCCCTGGTGACGGTGAAAGTGACTCACTTCCTCTTCTGTGCCACATCTGCCCTTCTCCTTCACTTGTTTATCTTTTTCATAACAGATAATTCTGTGTATTTTCTCAATACCTATTTGGTATAAATGTTGCAAATGCAGTCCCCCACTCTGGCTGTTATTTTCCTTTTCCATTTCTTTTTTAAGACAGGGTCTCCTGCTGCTGCCCAGGCCGGAGTGCAGTGGCATCATGGTAGTTCACTGCAGTCTCAAATGCTTGGGCTCAATCAATCCTCTTGCCTCAGCCTCACAAGGAGTAAGGACTATTGGCATCCACCACACCCAGCAAATTCTTTTTCTTTGTAGAGATGGAGTCTTACTATATTGCTCAGGTTGGTCTCAAACTCCTGGACTCAAGTGATCCTCCCACTTCAGCCTCCCAAAGTGCTGGGATTACAGACAAGAGCCACCATGCCCAGCTTGTATTCTTAACAGCATAAGAATAAACATTCTTTCAATAAACATTAAGTTTCTAGTTTTGATGGAGTCAAACTTATCAGACTTTTGAGTGAGCATATTCTGGCCTCAGGAAGGCACTCCCTGATACTCTGCTATTCCCTGAAAGGATGGGTTAGCCTTTCTATCTTCTTGGGGAACTGGCTTTACTGTCCCAATGCAGATGCTGGTTTGCCCAAGGCATAGCACCACTGCAACCCCTGTAGTTTGTGTGCCCAGAGCCTCAGGCTGTACCACTCATCTTGGGTGGTGAGCAGGATCTCCCCCTGGTGTCATGTCATGTGACAGAAGGAACTAATGCTGCAATCACCTTAAGATAGGAAAGTCATGGGGTGTGAGGGACAGTGGGACAGTGGAATCCAATGTGCTCCTAAAGGATAGGAGGAAGACAGCCAGGTGTCGGGCGGCAGCTGTGAGGAGGAGCTGACCATAAGCATCCACTCATATGGAGACCAGAGTACCTCTGCCAACAGCCCGGGAAAGCCTGGAGGTGGCCGGCAGGACACAGGGCGAGGAATGTGGGCTGGGCTAGGGCTGAGGCCCCTCATTGCCATGCTGTCACAGGTGCACACGGGGGGTCTGGACTAGGATCTCATTGAATCCACAGGTCACAATGTTGCACCCACATTTGAGTTTCTAAATATCAAGTTCCCAAGGAGGAAGAATGCCTGCAGTTCACAGAAAGCAGGGGGACATTAAACAGACTTGTTTCCAGCATAAGAGGAGGCCTGTCTGGCAATCAAGAGGATGGCTGATGCCAGGCATGTTAGTACACCTGCAGTTCTGTCACTCTGGGAGGCCAAGGAGGATAGATCACTAGAGGGTAGGAGTGCGAGTCCAGCCTGGGTGACAGAGTGAGATGAGACTCTGTCTCAAAAAACAAACAAGTGAAAAACAGGGAAACAAAGCAAACAGAGGATGGGTGACGGAGGGACCTTCAGAGGCCAAGGTCCTGTGTCTCAGGCCAGCAGTGGAGTGGCAGGGGCCTCAGGGAGGCCTGGGGGCAGAAGGACTAGAGTGCTGTGGCATTCAGGGGACAGTGACTTGCTGGAGGCAGCCCCATGAAAGGGCCTGGAATGTGCTCCTGACATGGACTCTCGGTCCAGCTGGTGCTCCTGAGGCCCACTCGTGGGACCAGTGGGCAGAGCAGAGGCACTTGGCTATTCCTACTTCCGAGACCAAGGAGTCTAGACTGGCAGAGACCAAAGCTGCTGCCCTGGGTGTGAGCTGTTGCTCTAGCACACACTTCCAGAAAGGCAGGAAAAGCCCCCCAAGAGACTGTCCTGGCAGAGGGGCCCTGAGTACCCAGGGGCTGGATGTAGTCTCAGTCCTGAGCTGGCAGGAGGCTACAGGGGGCCCAAACAGGCCCCATGGCCTGCCAGCATCAGGTCAGAGTTCAACAGCCCTGGAAAGATGGGAGCTTGGTGAGGGGGCAGGGCCTGACCAAGGGGCTGACTGTGACCACCAGTGGGGGTGGGAGGGCACTGTGGGGCCAAGCCTCCTTCCGCCAGGTGGGGGGCACATCCCCTGAACACAGATGCCTCTTTGTCAGGGCTGAGCCAGGCTAGCTGAGCAGCCTAAACAAAGCTCCTCTGTCCAGCCTGAGGCCTCCCTCTCACCCAGCACACCACCTCCAGGAATGGAGCCAAGCTCCCTAGGGCCCCCACATAGCACCTTCAGCACACATACCAGGCACATCCATAGTCCAGACAAGAGAGAGAGGCTGTGCTCACAGCCTGGAACTAGGACATGCAATAGAGGCCATGATGGAGGGGGCATGGGGGCCACCCAGGGCCTAAGGCCCCCAGAGTCCCCTGAAACACACCCTGTCTAGCCCTCACCACCCACCCAGGCCTCTTCCCAACATAGCAAAACCTGAAAAGGCAGTACAGGAAGGGCAGGTCTGAGCACCTCCAGATCTGTAATGACCTCGTCAGGGGACAGCCCAGCCTGCCCCAGTACTGCTTCCTAGGGCCTGGGCTTTGGACAAAGTCAGAAGAGCCCCAGCCTTGGGGTAAGCTCATGGGCTGGGCTCCAAGTTTGCCCTGTCCTTGGGGCCACTTGGCCTTAGAATCTGCTCCTCCAAAACCAGCTGACAGGGAGAGTGTGCCCAGCAGAACTTAGTGTCCAGATGGCGGAATCCAGATGAGGCCAGGCAAACTTCCCACCAGCTTGGCCAGCTCCTGCCGACACTGTCCCTGCAATCGACACAGCGCTGCCTCCAGGCAGGCCTCCTGACTCCTCAGTGCCTGGATCACCTCAGCTGCCCGCACGTGCTGGCCCCTAGGTGCATCCTCCTCACATCTCACCAGTCGATGGGGCCCATGAGGCTCAGCTGGGCCCCTGTCTCGCTCCCAGGCCCACTGCAGGGCTGCTAGCTCCTGCCCCACGGCTGTCTGCAGGGCCTGCCGTGCAGCACTCCACCGAGGCCCCTGGACCTGACGTCCCACCTGCATGAAGGCAAATACAGCAGTTCATGAACCAAAGGCAGCTTGGCCCCTCTGGATGATACTCAAGCCCCCTCAACACTTTCTGGGCACAGAGGCAGACCCTGGAAAGAGTGGGCCAGCCCAAAGGCACCCCATCTTGGGCTTTGCCTCAGCCTCACTGAGCACCTGAGTCTCCAGCAGAGACAGCTAGGCAGCATCCCTGACCTCCAATAAGAGTAGGGTCACCAGCCTATACCCCTTCAGGGACACCTACTGCAACCCCGCACACCACGCCAGGACTCAGCCCATTACCCCACCACCACTCTGCTAAACCAGCTTCCCCCTTCCCACTACCCACCAGGAGTGGAAGGCATGAGCTAGGGCTGAGGGAGCTGCCTTGGGCACCTGACCTGCTGGAATAGGGGCAACATTCATAGGGGTTTTCAAGCCCCCCCCCCCCACCGCCCACACCACTGGAGCACAAAGAGCCTGCACTCCAGTTGTCCTTGGAGAACCAACCTAGAATCCCTGGGGTTCTGCTGAATTGTCCCTTTAATTGATACAAGGACTTTCATGATCCTCAAAAAGGTGACACAGCCCTGAGCCCAGACAACAGACAAGTGTGAGGCCTCTGGGCTCACTTCAGGTTTTCACTTCCTATGGGGGAGGGAGGGGTGCCCCAGCTCCACCCAACAGGAGAGAGCCAGACTCTGCAACCTGAATATGGGAGACACAGAGGACATTCACTAGGGAGGGGATGACAGCTATCTTCACCAGCAGGGTGGTTTTTTGCAGGAAAGTGGGAAACACCTTTGCTCCTTTGAGAGGGAAACATGCCTGCAATTTACATTAAAATGCTTCAGAAAAAAATAATAAGTGCAGCAAATATGGCTGTGTTTACAGCCATGACCCTACAACCCAGGTGAGATGGCACAGGTGTTTGGGGCTGGGTCTGTCCAGCTGTAGTCCCTGGGCAAGGTGTAGAGGGGTGGCCGCCAGCACCTGAGTGACATGCGCTGAGCCACGGAGCCAGCATGTGGTGATGAGAGAGGATCCCATCTTGGGTGGTCACCTAAGCAGGGTGCTATCAGCGGCCCAGAGGGGGCAGGACCAAGAGGAGTGGGGCGGGGCTTGCAGGTGGCCATGGCAGAACTTTGAGAGGGCACTGAGGGTTGGGGCAGGGCCTGCGGAAAGGTGGTCTTGTGAGGGGCAGGGCTTGAAAGTGGGTGGTCTGACGAGGAGACGGCGCAGGAAGACGTGCCCTAGGCAGCTCACCTTGGCCTCCCAGGCCACTCGCCTGTGCTCTGCAGCCTCGCACAGCTCCTCTTGCAGCGCCCGCAGCTCCTGCGCTATGGGCTCCAACTTGCCAACCCCATACTCAGGGATCCTGGGCAGAAAGGTGGGCTGTGCGGCTGCAGCTGGGGCCTCCAGGGGACAGGCTGTTAGAACCGTATCCTGCAGAGTGAGATTCAAGTGAGAGAGCATGCGCTAGCACTGGCTCCTGAGCCAGTGGGGACATTAGCACAGAGGCCAGGAGGCAGTGGTGACCTCCTGAGGTCCCCCAGGGGGCTAGAGAGCTGCCAGCAGGCACAACGTCCAGGGAAGTGCAAAGACCACACCCTAAAAGGCTGCAGACCCCTGACAAGGCCAGATCAGCAGACCAGGACCAGCAACATCTGAGCCTAAGAACCCAGGAGGATGTCCTAGAAGGAGCTGCCAGGCCTGGGTGCAAATGCAGCTCCACTATGCTAGACTTTGGCCTCCCTTGAGCCTCCCAAGCCCACAGCCATAGGGCTGCTGTGGTCACAGCAAGAAGGGTAACAAGCAAGAGAGCAACAGCTTCCTTACCATCCACCTCCAGAAGACCAGCTCACCGCGCCGCCACTCCAGAGCAGCCTCCAGTCCTGTGTTCTCATGCTGCAGTCTCCACAGCAACTGGAAGGAAAACCACAGTTGGGCAGCAGGCTCCCTTCCCACTGCGCCTCAAGGCTGAGCAGAACAAGGACACAGGAGGATGCAAACAGAAGTCCACAGCTCCAACAATAACCCAGGAGGCTGCCCCAGCCAGCAGCATGCCCAGATGCTCACACACCAGCTATACATCTTCCAGAAGCTTCTGGGACCCAGCCCAGGAGTCCAGGCCCTTTTGGTAGGCCAGGTCCGGGCTTTAGCCAACTCCCACTCCTGGAAGGAAGCTGACCCGTGGCCCCAGGCCACACCATCCAAAGTGCTGCAGCACCAATACATGCCAGCCTCCAGGAGAAGGAGCCTCACCAGAAGAAGCCAGGCCCCCACCACAGAGGGTGGTCTCACAGAGGAGTACCAGGCAGGACCCAACTGGAGCCACTGCTTTGTCCAACCCAGGGGTCCCAGAGGCTAGAAGCCTGGGCCTTGCTGAGTCACCTCTAAAACAGGGACAGAGCCAAGGGCAGATGGGGACTCCCAAATGCTGCCTCAGCACCTCCAAGGCCAAGTCCAGGCCCTGATGGGCTGGGGCCAGAAAGAATGAAACCAGATATGCAGGCCCAAGTGGTACCAGGGCCAGGTGGGTCACCAGTAAGCACCATGAGCCCACAACAAGGGCACCAAATCCCCCGGGGATGAGGCTTCAGAACTGGAATCTGCTGGCCAGACTTGCCACAGGAAGGAAGCCCCAGGAAATGACTGACACAGTGGGGAGCAGGGGCCGGTCATCTGCCGGCTGGTCCCACCTGCCCTGGGACAAAGTAGAGGGGTCAAAGTAGAGGGCTCCTTCTCTGGGGTTGGGGAGGGAAGAGAAAAAGAAGAGAGCTGGGTCTGGGAGGAGGGGTCCCACCAACCCTGAGCCGCAGCCCTCCTGCCCAGCCAGACATGCCCAACACTGGGCAGTGCCATCCTACTACTCAAAATGGTCCACAGTCCTGCCCTATCCCTCACGTCAAAGCCAGCCCAGAGGAAGGAGCCAATGATGATGGATGGCAGGCCCCTGAAAAGAAGGATGGGGGTGGAAGGTTAGCAGAGAGAGGGTGGGGGGACAGCAGAGATGGGAGGAATCAGACAACCTAGGAGAAGACACCCAGTCCAGGCCAACCCTGACACACTTCCGGTCAGTACCCAGCAGCCCCAGATATGCTCTCTCTACCCTGGCAGACCTGTCCCACTGGGCTCTATGTGGGCCTAGCCCCGGGCTCTGAAGGGTGGTTGTCCCTCCTGTAGATAACCCTGTGCCTAGCCCTTCGCCCAGCATGGGCTGTGTGTTGGGCCAGCCCCTGCCCTCAGTGGTCCCCACCACACTGAGTGACACCTGCATGGGCTTGAGGCACCAACACCATCAGCTCAGAGTCTTTAATTCCAGTAATCCTCACCTCAGCCAGCTATCAGTCTAGCCTGGACCCAACACTTGTGCTCTTTAGACCCTGCCTGTACCCAGCCACAGAGGACATGTATACATAGTACCCACCCAGTCTAGAATCTGGGGGGAGGGAGGGCAACAGTCCATAAAGCCAGGAAAGGCCCAGAGGACATACCTGTCACATTACCCCCAGCAATGACGGTGAGCTTGGCAGACACCCAGAAACACCCACAGCTCAAAGCCTGACAACTGCCCCAGGTCTCCCTCAACAGGCCCCTCCCTACAGAGGTGGCATCTACCCCAGCAACTCCCCAGCCCTCACCTGCTGGCCAACCTCTGGGTCCCTGAGCATCTCTATTTCAGCAACAGACAGATGGCCAAGGCTTCGGTCACTATGGCAACCACGGGTGTACAAGTGGATCTGAAACAGACAGTACAGACCCCAGGTTCAAGCACCTCCTCTCAGCCTTGGGCCTGCACCTGTTGGGTGAGGTCAGCCTTTGAAGCCACATTACAGACAAGGAAGCAGGGCTCAGAGAGGCTGCCAGCAATCCTGGGGACCGCTGCAGAGGGAAGGATACCTGGCTATCTCATCATAACTTCCCCAGTTCACCTAATTCCCCAGGCAACAACAGGACTGCAGTGGGCATCTCTACTCCCCACCCTCCCTGTCCACCCAGTGCCAAGCTCCCTCAGTGCAGTCCTGCCCTCAGTGGTCCATGTGGTGGGAGGAATGGCCTCTGGATAGACACAGCAGTCCAGCAAGATCAATGATGGGGACACAAAGTGACTTTCTCAATGTAAGGGGAGAGGGAGGGCTCTCTGTCACCAGAGGTTCACAGGTGGACATCCCCAAGCAGCGTAAATGGCTGGTGCCAAGGTTAGGCAAGATAGAGTGAGCGATCTCAGGAAAGAATGGCTGAGTGACAGATCTTCTGCAGAGCCCTGAACAAGAGGGAGCCTGCTGCCATCACCCAAATTGTTCTACACCCAGGATGTGGAGGAAAAGGGGGTGTCTAGAAGGCAGCAGTTCCCCCATGCCTCAGAGCCTATCCTGTTGCTTGGTGATAAAGTCTCAAGGCCTCTTGTGACTTCAGGGAATAAGAAGGGCAATCCTGAACTCTCTGACATCAGCTCCTGCCTTAGCTGCAGGGCCAAGATGCTGCCTACCCACTGGCTCCCTACCCCAGCACTGGGCCCCCACCTGGACCACCAGGAGCCATGGGTGTAGGCTCCAGGCCACCCAAGGCAGCACCTAGGCCCCACCAGTCTCAGCCAGGTCATGCCCACCTAATAGCCTGAGCCCCAGCCAACCAGGCACAGAAAAAAGCAAATGGAAGCCTTAGCAACAGGATAGCCAGCCCTACCTTGCTCAGGAGGGTGCACTGTTCCTGCTGACTGGCAGCCAGGCATCGCCACCGGAACCGTAGTCTTCCCATCAGCCACTGCACACAGCGGATGTCCACAGGATCCTCTGCTTGTACATGAGGTGCCCCTGGACCAGGGCTGGCCAGAGCCTCACACTGGAAAGAGGGCAAAGGTCAGGCCCTGCTCCCATGCTCCAACCTGGCCTGGAGGGGCCAGAATGGGAGAGCAGTGGAGGCATCCTCCGTGTCCTCAGCAAGGCAGCAAGTAACCTCCTCACAGGACTGCCCTGAGGGACAGAGCAAGAGATACAGAGAGGCCCAGGCCTGCTCTTGCTCTGGCCCTATGTCTTGAGACCATGGACAACCCAGGTATCAGGACAGGTATGGGTCCTGCTCCCGCTCACCTCCACCCACCTCACACACAGGCATCTCGTCACCCACTTGCACGTGGGCCTGGGCCAGCAGCTTCTCGGGCAGAGGACCTCGGGCCAGGAGCCAGGACAGGGCCAGCAGCAGTTCCCGACTGCCCCGGGAGCCGTCCTCAGGGAGTTGTGCCAACGCCAGCCTCGGATATCCCTGGGAGCACAGCGCTGACTTCACCCAGCAGGCCTGGGTCTCTGGGTAGGAGACCACCAGTCAGCAGGACTGCCCACTTGGACCTCTTCAGAGACCTCCTCCCTGGATCCCCAAGCAGAGGCCTGGCTCAGAAGGGGCCAAGAGGAGGGCGGGGACTAAGACCACGTAAGGCGGCCAGGGGCCAGCCTCAAGCGGGGATAATATGGTTCAGCTGGGGCAGGGCCTAACTAGGAGCAAAGCTTTTATGGGGGGCGTGGGACCAGAACTACCTGGGTGGACGGGGCTGGTCTTACCAGAAAGAGCGGGAGGAGACAGTGCTACGTTGGTGGGCGGGGCCTGAGCCTTACCAGGAGAGCTTAACATGGAGGGCGGAGCTTATCAGAGTCGGGCTTTAGGGCATGGGCGGGGCCGGAGTCCACCAGTGGTAGGATTTGCCAGGGAGAGCCGGCCTGAGCAAGCTGAGCTTTACATAAGAGGGCAGGGTCTGTGCTTCACGGGTGGGGATAGAAATTGCCAGAGTCCTGGCTTACCCAGGGCCAGCGAGGCCGAAGAGGCGTCTGTGGAAAGCGGCGAGAGCACACGGAAAAGGAGCCGCCACAGGGCGGGGGCCTGCAGAAAATTAAAACCGGGCAGTCAGCCTAGCCCGCCCGCCTCCCTGCGTCCTATCCTGCCGGCCACCTGCCTCACGAGCCTCACCGCCTCTGGACGATCGAACTTGGCACGGCGGAAGATCTCAGGGCTCGGCCCAGCAGGCAGCGACCGACTGAGCGCGGCGATGACCTCGGGCAGGGTCCCTGACCCGCCCTTGGCCGCAGGGCCCACCAGCCGCCGCCGCCGCCTCCCCATCCTGACCGCGCCAGACTCCTTCAGATTGCGCGCTGCCGCCGGGGCCTAGTCGAGCGACCAATTACCACGCCGGCTGGGCTCACCGACCAATCACCGGCCGCTCGGCCCCGTCCAATGAGCGATACACCTGGAGCTTGAGTACAGTCTATTATATCTGGTGAGGTCGCACTTCCGGAACCCAGGCTGGGACCATTGGAGTTGTCAGCTCCACCAAGTCCGCCAAATCTTAGCAACACCTGGCACCCTGACCTACCAATCAGCGCCTCACGCAACCTAGCAATCACTAGTGAGCGCTGCACATGCGCGTGCGCCTGAGGGCGCCCCAGCGGGCAAAGCCTGCGTCCAGCGGAGGGCCGGAAGGGACACCAGGGGGCGCTTAGAAGCCGCTGCGCCCGGACAGCCCGGGCCCCGCACTTGAGGCTGCAGCCTCCCTGAGCCTTCGATGGGGAGGGCCGCGGCGTTGCAGTCAACGAACCCCGTCGGCCTGGCCCGTAGAGGGGAGCTGGGGCTTTGGAGCGTAGCTCGGAGTCCGGCCAAGTGCCTACGCCGGCCCGCCCTCTGGGCTTGTGCTCTCTAAGACATGCAGGGCAGGCTGGGCGGCGCCCGACCCGCGGAACTGAGAGCTCGCGAGGGCTGTTCGGTTTGGCGAGGCTCGCGGTCGCGCTCCCGGGTGAAGGGGAGGGCGCCAAGGACCGTGCTAGTGGCGCCATTTCTGTGAACACGCACGAAGTAATGGCAAATTACAGTCCACACGCAGGTGGCTGCCGTCCTGGGCCGCGGCATCACAGTGGGGGTGGGAGGCTCGCGGCTGGGTGGTGCTACCGCGGGGCATCTCTGATCTTCCCTTACGCCATTGGTCAGTAACAGGTGCCCTCTGTGATGGATAAATTACACTTCGGTGGGTTACGGAGAAGAGGCGAAGAGGGACCAGCTCACTGGACAGTGAGCTACGCGCGGGCAGGATGGGGAGGCGGCGGCTGGTGGCCCCTGCGGCCAAGGGTGGGTCAGGGACCCTGCCCGAGGTCATCGCCGCGCTCAGTCGGTGGCTGCCTGCTGGGCTGAGCCCTGAGATCTTCCGCCGTGCCAAGTTCGATCGTCCAGAGGCGGTGAGGCTCGTGAGGCAGGTGGCCGGCAGGATAGGACGCAGATGGGGAAGGATAGAACTCCGTGCGCCCGACCCAGTGGTGCAGCCCAGCCTAGGCTGTGGCCTAGGACGTGCAGACGAGGGACCTGTTCCCACCCACCGCGCTGTCCCCACCTCACCCCGCGCGGACCCTGCCTCCTTCTGTACCCATCCCTCGGCCTCTTCCTCGCGGTCCTCCTGGGCCCCTGCCTGGGCTGCCGCCCAACCCCACTCAGCTCCTAGGCACTCTCCTCGCGCCCACGGGCGTGCTCCCCTCCAGCGTCCACCCTCAGCGGGGCTGGGACTCCCACAAACTTCCGCTCTTCACACTGCAGCCCAGATGCCTTTCTAGCCACCCTTCATAAGCCCTGCAATCTTCAGGATAAAGCCACATTCCCTACCCTGCCCACGCTGGTTCCCAATCCCCTGGGTTTCTTGAGCCCAAGGATCTCTTTCCTTTTAGGGTCTTTGCAGCTACTCTGCCTTGTGCCTTGGGTGCTTCCCCTGCCCCCCACCTGAAGTCGAGCTGTCCTCCACTCTTCCTGCAGGTTTCTGCTCTCTGGTAGTTCACCTTAAGTTGTGCACAACCTGGACAGTGAGCTACCCAAGGACAGGGGCTGCTCTGCTGCCTGGCTCAGCTCTGCCCCCTCGCCGAGGTGGACTAGATGTTGATGAAGCTCCAAGGACTCAGCTCCAAGTCCTCCCAGCCCCACAGGCTACTTCTCCACAGGGAGGACTGAGGAGAGCCCCACCCCATCCATCAGGAAAATCCCTGTCTCCTATTTCTTGGAATTCCATAAATGAACCAAACACACACCTTGCCCTAAAGGCCATTCTTGACCATCTGCCTGATTCATGCCTGCAGCACCCCACTAAAGCCCTAAGGCAAGAGGCCAAGGTCACAGGCAGACTTAGAGGGTTCCTCCTGTCTGGGTCTTAAGGTCTGTGAAGTGGCAAGGGTTGGGGAAGGCCCCAGTGGAGCCCAATCAGCAGTAGCTGTCTAAGTTAACAATCCAGATTTCAGAAGGCCCCCAGCCGCTGTGCACAGCCACAACAAAAGTTCCCTATTAGAGCACCACAATGTGTTAAGTTCCTAGGCACAGGGTGAGGGACAAACAAGCACTGATAAGGGGTGGTGGCTTCTGGGTCAGGGTCTAAGTAGTCTGCAGAAACCAGATGGGTGGGGCAGCAGGAAGTGGGAAGGACTCGCCATCACAGCCGCCCCAGTGCTTCTCAGCCAGGGAGCTGCAGCTGATTCATCCTCCTCCCAACCCTACCCACCCTTAGGCCTCAGGGTCCCACTGACCCTTTGGCCACAGCTCTTGCAAAGCCTCTCCTTGCACCATCCCAGAACCACCAGGACTCAGGGCATCTCTGTGGGCCTGGGAGTTGCAAAAGTAGGATCAGAGCACCAAGGCACATAGCAAAGTGACAGCTGTCCAGGGTGGCCTGGGCTCTCACTCTGCAGTGGGTACTCTGGCCTGTGAGGTGCCCAGAAGGGCTCTGAGGCCCACACTCCCGCCTCCGCTGCAGCCCTTCTGGCCCTCCCCAAGGACACATGGGTACACACCACACACATGCAGACACATAAGCACACACACTGCTTTTCCAAGTGTTATAAGTTTATTGAAGGCGCAAGGGGTACAAGAAAACCCTGGGTGTCCACGGTGAGGCCTGGCATCTGACTGAACAATGGCCCTGCAGGCGGCAGGGGACAGGGTCTCCACAACCTGTACACAGAGGTGTGAAAACAGATGTGTCAGCCCAGCAAACGCCTGCTCCTTCCAGTCCCCAGAAGCAATCAGACCACTTGGGGATGGGGGGAGGGTGTACCCACCCAAAGGGCAGACCAGCTGGGCAGTGTAGGGGGAGTAGGGTTATACCTGGGTTTACTTGAAAGTGTGACTTTCAGCTCCACCCCGCCCAAAGCCTGCAGAAAAAATGAGAAAACAATCAATGGGTTAGAGAAAAGAGTGGGGTGAAGTGTGGGGAGGGGAAGATCACAGGAAGCAATACCTTTGGGCCCGAACATGGAAGAGTAGCAAGGGTGGTTGCAATAAGGCTTGCCTTCATGCTGCAGAGAAAAAACCCATGAGGGGTACCATCACCCCTCTGCCCCTACCACCACCCTGGGCTCCCACTTACCTCGGAATGACCCCCAGAGGTCAATGTCTTTCCACATTTCTCACACTTGAGGCAGGGCCGGTGCCAGTCCTTGCCCAGAGAGGTCACCCGCTCAGCTGCAGAGGTACAGACAGGCTTTCCATGAGACAATGCTCTGGGGACTCAGAGTACACACCCACCCGCGCCCTCCTGCCACACCCTAAGGTCTCAGTTCACCCCAGTGCTGGGGGGGGGCACCTCCAGACCCCACAGGCCAATCCTGCAGATAAATTGCAGGGGTTGCTGGCCCTTGCAGTAGTAACAGGTGCAGGCCCTGGGCAGTATCCCTGAGGACTTATGGGGTGCTGGTGGAGAGAGGGTCCTCGAGGGCCAGAGGTGAGGGGTGTGGGTCAGCAGGGCCTGGGGCTAGGCTGCAGGGATTATGCCATTTGGCTTCTACCTGGGTGACTGGGATGGGACCTCCAGTCCGGGACTGGGGTTACTTCCCACTGCCTCCCTCTCCTCCCGTGGGCGGGCCTCTGGGTGAGCGCCCGGGACAGGAAGTCGGGCGCCCGGGCTCTACCGCGTCGCGATCGCGCCGCGGGCGTCGGTTTCCGTGTGTTTCTACTTAGCGCTGAGAGAGGCGGCCCCAGCTTCACGTTTCTTCATACCCCGCGGGTTCCCCGCCCAGGGTGCGCCCAAGAGGAGGCAGGAGAGACAGCGGGACCCAGAAACCGGAATCCCAGACTGCTAGACCCAGAGGCGGGTAGACTCAGAAACAGAAAAGCCGGATCACAGAGCGCAAATTGGCAGGATAGCGGGACCCTCCCATGCTCGGTATCTTCCCCCTCACACCCAGGCACCAGCGGGCAAGGCTGAAGAGTCTGTTCCAAGGAGGTCCCCAGGAGTCCCCCAGCTCCTCGAGTCCACCAAAGCGGGCCCCAGCCCTGTCCACTCCTAGGTCCTGCTTCCGCGTAGGGCCGCACAGTGCCCGGACAGGGCGTGGGCTGGAGGAGGGCGCACTCACCAAAGTACACCTCCTTGTCGCACTTAGGACACTTGGGCATGGCGGCACCGGGTCTGGAGCAGGCGTCTGTGACAGGGCGGGAACCGGCAGTCAATGAGAGACTGGGTGGATCCAGCTGGGTCGGAGTCTTTCAGTGACCGCGGGACCCCGCCCCTTTGAGACTCCGCCTCTCACGCCCAATCTCCGGAATCAGAGTTGGAACCTGGTGGCATCAGCTCTAGGCTGACAGACTGAGAAAGGTCATCTGGTCCATCTCTGCCTCCCCGCCGGACCCAAGCCTAGCTGAGGACCTAGCAGAGGCCGTAGGGGTCACAGGGGATTTATGGAATTCACTGGGGGGAGGGGAGGGGAGGACGCTTGCGCCCAGCTCAAGCCCCGCCCCTCTCCCAAGGCTCTGAAGCCTCCGGGGTAGGTGGGAGGGATCCCCAGGAGCAGGAAGGGGCGCTCCATTCCCAGCCCCATCCTGTATGCACCTGCCTGAGTCCCCTAATCTGGAGCCTAGGACAGGCTGCAGCACCTCTAAAATGCAAATAGATGCAAATTAGTGTGCTCACACATTTTGACCCTCCCCTCGCCAAGATAGAGGGTTGAGGACAGTTGCCTGGTAGTCCCTTTCCCCAGGAACCCACTGCGGCATTCCAGCCCACTTTCGGCCAGGAGGCCTGCCCCACCCCAGTCCCTTCATTCCCGCGAGACGTCCTCCCACCCCACCAATGGCTAAGAAGTCTAGCGGACCGCAGTGGGAACATCCCCGAGGAATTCGGAAGAGGAGACTCCAAGGCAGGGGGATCTAAGATTGGGGACCGTTCAGCTACAGGCCCCAGGCAGGGTGTGGCCACACCCAGGCCATCTCCAACTTCCTTCTTCCAGAGAAGGAATCTATCCTTATCTCTGAGAGAAGCGCCCGAGAGGGCCGGAGCGGTCCAAGTCTGCCGCCCAGGTTAGGTGCCAGGAGGAGAACGTCCAACCCCTCCCCTCTACGAAGTTCAAGAGAGTTGATGAGCCAGCGCTCCAGCTGTGGAGTCGCCCCTCCATCCTGAGCACCAGCCAGGACTCCTGGAACCTCGGGGAGGGGCTGGCACCACCAGTCACTTAACCATACTCTGTGTACCCTCCTGTGGTCCTGGTCGCAGTCAGCCAGGACCGTCCACCCTCCTTGTCTCTTGTAGGCCCTTCAGCTCCCAGCACGTGGCCCTGCTGCCTTTTCTCCCTGTCCATCCTTCCTCCCTTCAGCCACCCTGTTACCTGAGTCCTCATATCTCCTCCACACTCCTATCTAAAAAAACAAAACTGGTCACCTCTGGGCCTGTCCAGTTCCCATGACTGCAAAAGGTGCTGGACACCACCCTCCCCAGTGGCCCCAGGAACCCCCAGTCTCCCCTGGCAGGCACACAGGCCTGACCGCACTTGTGATCCCAACCTCACCTTCCCTGAAGCCCATCTCCCCAGAGGGCTCCACTGAAGAGGAAGGGAAGCAGTGGGTGCCTCCATTTCAAGACCCCTGCCCCAACTGTCTAGACTAGGCCTCAGCTTCGGGTGAAGGTGGGAGCTCGAGGGCTGTAGGGTGAGTGAGGCACTTGTGTCTGGCACAGAGGCCACACATCTAGCCCAAGACCACATCCTGCACCCCACCTCTCTCCAACCACTACCTTCCTCCTTAGGATTCTCTCTTTGAGGCCACAGTTCCACCCCCAGTGGGCCTCTGCAAGTCCTGGGGTCTGTGACGACATTCTGCAGGGTCCCATTGGAGCCCTCCCCCGAGTTCTGCACCCCCCAGCAGCCGGGCTTCCATAGTAGGGGTGCACTCCAGTCCTGCAGCCTTGAGACCCCTAGTGTCCAGCCTGGTTAGCCTTAAAAACTCAGATCTGAGCCTGCCTGCTGGCTCCACCCAGCACAAGGAGTCCAGGGTGTGGTTCCTCGAGTTGAGGTCACCATTCCAACTAGCTCCATAAATTTACTTGCATGAGTCTCTACTTCTTGGCCTGGGCCAGGCCAGTGGGAACAGGAGGGAGGTTCTGACTTTCTTCATCTCTGGCCCTGAGTACCTGCCTCTCCCTCTCCTCTCCCCCTTGTTCTCTCTTTCATCCTAATGCTCTGCACACCACACTGCAGCCAGACATTAAAAGAAGGAGGAGAAGAGGTACCAGGCACCAGGCAGGGAAGGTAGGAGAACTGGCTCAGCAAAGACACTGGTCAACTGTGGGGGGGAGCGGGGGGTCTCAGGAAGTGGGATGGTCTCTCCTGCTGCAGGTCCCTGGGTCAGGCTGCACACACAGCACACACTACTTTGCTGTTTGGAGAAGCTGGGATAGCACAGAAGCTGTGAGGCACCCAGCACAGCAGGATAGTGCTCCAGGCTGCAAAGGTGGGTGACCAGACACATGTGTACCCACAGGCATGCCTGTATGGGTGTGTGTCCATCCCAGCATGGCCAGTCTCAGTCCTCCATTTTATCTGCCCCACTCCAGGGCTGGCCCCTCCCCCACACCCAGATTCCAACCCTTCCTGCCCAGCAGGGAGCGCCCCCCCATAATCTGGGTGATGAGTCCCTTCCTGGCCTTCTCTGTTGTTATGTTCTGTTGCCATGGTCATAGAGCGGAGGTGGGGAGGATGCCTTGAGCATGAGGCTGGGCCTTCTGTGTTGGTACTCATGGTTTTCCAGAAACTCAGCTCAGACACACTCATGGACACAAACACATACCCAATCCCTGAAACTGTCCCCAAACTTGAGCCACAGACTGATCTGTCCCTCAAACTCCTTTTCTTCTGTGTTTCCCATCAGTCCTGCCTGTGGGAATAGGGACCCCTCATCACCTACAGCCCCAGCTGCCTCCTCCACCCAGATTCCAGCCCAGGCTGCCCCACCCAGCAATGCCTCTGAGACTCCAACAGCCACTAGCTGCAAGGCCTCTGCTTCCATCAGCCCCCTGGCCTGCTCCTGACCCATGGCACCCTGACTCAGAACCACTGGGCCAGCTGAATCCTGGCCCCTCTACCTCTCACCCTTCTGCTGGCATGCTGATAGCATTTGTCATGTGAACATACAGAGGACAGAGTATGGGTCAGGACAAGAAACTGAACTCCCAGCTGCTGCCCCAGACTGCCTCTGCCCAGAACTTTCCACCCTGCCCAGACAGCATGAAGACACCTTAGGCACCTGAGACCTGGGGGTAGTGAGGCAACAGCACTCATCCCTGCCCCATCAGCCTGCTCCTGCTTTGCCGAGAGAAAGTCTATTTTGGGATCCAGGCTCTGCTCCTGTAGCTCAAGCGGCTAGGGCATCAGCCACATAAACCGGAGCTGGAGGGTTTGAATCCAGCCCTGGCCCGCCAAACAACAAGGACAACTACAACCAAAAAATAGCTGGGCATTGTGGTAAGCACCTATAGTCCCCACTACTTGGGAGGCTGAGGCAAGAGAATCGCTTAAGCCCAAGAGTTGGAAGTTGTTGTGAGCTGTGATGCCACCACACTCTACAGGGTGACAGTTTCAGACTCTATCTCAAAAAAAAAAAAAAAAATATATATATATATATACATATATGAAAAATATTTTGGGATCCAGGGGCCTGACTAACCAGAGAGGCATGGTTGGCCCTGTCATCCTGACCTGGAAGGTTCTGCACTTCATGGAGTGCAACTCAGCCTCTCTCAGTGTGTGCAGGCGGTGGCTGCACACAAAGACAGGTGAGAGGATGTTCCCCCCTGAGAGCTGCAGGCCAGCTGGGCCTGTCTTGTGCTGTTCACATCCAGGTGCACTGCACTGCCAACACAGGCTCCAGGAAAAACACCCTGCCTGCCACGCCCAGCTAGGACCTCCCTAGCATCCACCCCCTCTGCCTGGATGAGTCACAACACTCACCAGTTAGTTCTCAGGGTCTATTTTCAGCAGTTAGCCTCCTGGGACGCCCTTGTCTGGCCTAAGGACTGGCCCCAGGGCAGCCCTGAGTTGGGAGGCTGGATACAGACAGGCTTTCCTTTATCCTCTGGCCTCACACAAAGCCTAGGTGGGAGAGCTGCTGATTCCTCCTCTCCCAGAAGCAGCCTGGATATGGAGGACAGAGGACCAGGGAAGCCACCTTCAGCCAGCCCTGCCCCCAACAATGGTGCACCTCTGTCTGGGGTACACAATATGGCTGAATAGGGTACACCTGCCTTTCCTCCCCTCCCTTGAGGCTGGGCCCAGTGCCTCTGAGTCCTGGAGCCAAAGCCCAAGCAGAAGCACCTGGAATCTCAGCCTGCCAGCCCAGCAGCTGAGGCCCTGACCTTACCCCAGCCAGGCCCTGGGAAATATTGCTGCCCACACTTACCATCCTGGAATCTGGCTAATCCTGGTCTATGCCTGGCCCTCAACAGTGAGGGACACTAATCAGTGAGTTGGACCCAGAGGCAGGAAGGAGACATATCCCCAAGTCCTGTAGAGCCTCTGGGAAGCTAGCTCGAGTGAGGTGAGACATCCAGAGCTGATGCTGGGGGTCACTGGGCCAGGTGAGACAGGGCAGGGCCTGAAGGGAAGGTGCTAGGGGGTCTGGGGCTCTAGGGCATGGGCTAGACTCGTAGCAAAAATAATTTTATGGTTTGGGGTCACCACAACATGGGGAACTGTATTAAAGGGTTATGGCATTAGGAAGATTGAGAACCACTGGAGAGTATCTGGGACTTGGGGAAGTGGGGACACAGGGAGCTGAGCCATGGAGATGTCTTCGGGGATGCAGCAAGCCCACCCCTCAGTTCAAGTCAGAGGTGGGGGCCTAAGAGGAACCTGGCCAGGAGGCATAAGAAGACTGGCCAGTGGGATGGGGAAGCAGGACAGGAAGGAGCACATTCCCCTCTGCTGAGATTGGCTTGCAAAGTGTGGCTAGGCTCAAGCTGGGTAACAAGGACCGACTATGGGTCCCTAGACTGAGTTCCCAGAGGTTCTAAAGGGGAAGTGAGGTAGTCAGATGGCATTTCAGGGCCACCTCACCCACTGAGCATGGGTCAGAAGGTGAAGGGTAAGGTAGAACCTTCTCCATTTGGGAGGGATGGAGAAGGCGGCATGGCCAGGGACAAAGGTGTCCATTCCTGACTCCCCTCCATCTTTAGGGGTGTTGGGGCTATGGGCACCCTGAGAAGCCCCTGGCTCAAGGGTGGAGGAGAAGCTTCCTGGAGCTGGTGCCAACGAGGGCGCACTGGCAGTACCATGGCACCACCCGGCCACCCCCACTGGTGCTGCCCAGAGACAACATTGAGACAAACAGTAGTAGCAACCGCCCAGTTTCCATGACAACATCTTGGAAACAAACATTGCAGGCAGTGCTTCATCCTCCAATGCCTGCCAGCAGGAAATGGGGTGGGTCCTACCAAGGCCAGACCTGGGGCAGGGCACTGCACCCTGCCAGGGCCAGGGACTGATCTCCCCTTGAGAAGACCCCTGACCACCTCATCCCCTAACCTGCCATCCCCCAGGCAGGGTTTCTTACACACAAAGAGGCCTCCCCACCACAGCCCACCCTCAATTAGGCTTCGGGCAGGGCAGGCTGCCTACTATGTCTCCTCCAGACATAGTTTCCACTGGAGGTTCCCGAGGGAGGAGGGGACCTAGCTGTGCCCTTTCAGCCCCTCTAGCAGAGAGCAGGAATTTCCCATGTGACACTGGGCGCCTAGGCGAGGGCGGGCTGGAGAAGCATGAGTTCTCCTCAAATGGCCCCCCAACCAGGAACCCTTGGTCTTACAGGAGAGGAGGCCATCCCAACCTCTCCTCTAAACAGAGCATCCTACCTTACTGGACCTCCCCTCTGCCTGGGGCTGTGGACACCCCCACCTGCCCCAGGTCCCTGCTTGCCACAGGCCCCACACATTCAGGCCACATTCCAGGTGGGAGGAGACAGTGCCTGGCTCAGCTTGCCAGACAGAGGGGAGCTGTGGCATTGCCAGATACCAGAGCCAGCTCAATTCTCCACCCCACCCCCCTACTGGGACATGGATGGCTGCCCACAGGACAATGGGCTCAAGTCCAGGCTCCTCTGTCTGGGCCCCTGGACTGAAGGGTAGATGGGGAGTGGCAGGGAGATTGTGCCATGTCTAGGGAACTGAGAACAGGCAGGGCGTGATCATCTGCAGTGTAGTGCTGAGGCTAGGGGTCCAGGCAGGGTCACAGTTTTTGGTTGTTTTTTTGAGACAGAGTCTCACTATGTCTCCCTCGGTAGAGTGTTATTGCATCACAGCTCACAGCAACCCCAAACTCTTGGGCTTAAGAGATTCTCTTGCCTCAGCCTCCCACGTAGCTGGGACTACAGGCACCCGCCACAATACCCAGCTATTTTTTAGTTGCAGTTGTCATTGTTATTTAGCAGGCCCGGGCCGGGCTCCAATCCTAACCACTGAACTACAGACGCCAAGCCAGGGCCACAGATTTCTGCCACAGTATGCCAGAGTAGAGGGGCTGGCGCGCCCTCTAGTGGGCACCCCAAGAGAGGCCAACAAAAAAGGGACAGAGAGGAGGGGGCTCTTGCCACAGCCAAGGGATCTGGTTGAAAGGATGAAGTCTGGACTACTTGAGGAACCAGGGTGACTGTGTCATCACTAAACTCAGTCACAAGGTTTTCATAGCCAAAGCCTGGGCAAGAAAAGACTCCAGCCCCCATGCCTTCATCTTCATTCTGCCCCTGAGCACTTAGGTGAGGGCAGGTTGGGGGGCCCCAACCATCCTGAGGCCTGTCCATCTCCCTGTGGAGCGAAGCTGGAAGCAGCTACTCTGAACCCATCCAGGACCTGCCCTGAGCACTCCATGCCTTTCTGCACTTCCCAGCCCAGGCCTCAGCTGCCAGCCCATTGCAGTCCCTTGATCAGCTCCCCATCCTCTGCATAGGAGTCCACTTCTGGTCCCCTGTCCCCATGCCCTCCACTAGGTATCCATCTGCTTACTCTCAAAGCTGACCCCTCCCACTCCTCTTGGTTCCGGATGGACCCGGGTAGCTTCTGGCTCCACACCTGCCAAACTACTGTTGGCACTTTCAGGGAACAAGGTTCAGCCCAGCACATACCACCCTCCCCCAGGGAGACCCCAGATTAACTCAGGGCTCCTGTTCTCAAACAGCCCCACCTCTCACCTTCATCCAGACCCCATGTCTATGTGGGCACTACTGCCCCAACCAGGGACCAAGTTCTTCCTCTCCAGGTCCTTCCATGCTCTGCCAGAGCCATGCTGGGATCCTACTGCCCCACCATCACCTTTGAGAGCACGACCCATCCCACCAGAAGCCGGCCTGAACACAGAAACATTGTCCTGGAGTCGCATCCATCCACAGCCAGAGACGGTGCTTGTCCTATGATCCTCAAACCTTTTATTGACAGCAAAATCTCAGCAGGGAAGTGAACCACATGTGGTGGCAGGGAGAGCTTGCAAGGCAGTGTGGGAGCCAGGCAGAAGGCCCTGAGCAGGGACACACTCCACCTGGGAGACAATGTGAGAGGCGTGGCCATCACTGGCAAGGGGGCATAAATAACACTGGCAGGAGGGCCTGGGGCAGCAGGAGAGGGGGAGCACGACAGCCACCTCAGAGACCCACAGGGCACACAAGGACACAGGACACCCAGGGACACACAGAAATGCTGGAAGGGAGACACATAGAGTGCCCCTGGGGTTCGGAGGCACACAAGGACACGTGTATATGGAGCACACAGACACAAAAGGGGGTGATGGGGACCTTCAGAGGAAGCCAGAGGGTAGCAGGCACCCCCAGACACATAGGTGGGCATTAGCCCTTGCCACTGCCCCTCCTCTGACTCTGGCAGGGCTTGTAGGCAGGACGCTGAGGCAGCCACCAGGCACAGGGCAGGGTCTGGCAAGAGGCAGAAGGCCCTTCGACCACGGAAGGAGCTACAGCCTAGGGCTGGACTTTGCCTTCAGGATCCTTGTCATAGATGTAGCTGCCCACCGCCCCGGTGTTCACACCTGCAGAGAGAGACAAGCCATGTCTAGGGAACAGCCAGAGCCCTGCAAGGGAGAGGCGCCCCACCCACAGTACTCACCCTTGGGTCCGAAGAGTATTCCATAGCAGGGCTTGTGGCAGTACGGCTGGCCATCGTGCTGGGTGGGGGCAAACAGGGAATTGAGGGGGGAGGGGGCCGCGGACTCCCAAGGCGTCCAGGTCTCTGTCCTCTGAGGGGCGCCTGAGTGCGGCCTCTGCCCTCGCCGCCAGGGGGCAGCACCTGTCTCGGCGCATTCAGTGCCCCAGCAACCCCCCATCCCAACCCCCACCGCACCCCTGTTCTCCCTTCCTGGGCCCTGCTGCCGCACCTCAGGTCTTCCCAGCTCCCGCCTTTTTCGCACTCCTCACCTCCGCGTGCCCGCCTGGAGTCAGCGTCTTCCCACAGCGCTCACAGCGCAGGCAAGGCCGGTGCCAGTCCTTACCCAGAGATGTCACCTTCTCGGCTGGAATAAGGGAGAATGGTGACGCCAAGCCCCCAGGAGAGGCTCCCGGGGCCTGGGCTGAACAGTCACTCACCAAAGTAGACCCTCTTGTTGCAGCGAGGGCACATGTTGGGCTCCCCGGTGAACGTGGTGATGCTAGAGGCTAGGAGATGGGGATAGGTCACTGCCGGCCAGAGGTTGCTGACTCCTCGTCCCAGCCCCAGAGCCCAGCTCACCTTTGCTGGGCCCCTTAGGGGGGCCACTCGCCTTACGCTCCTCTGCTCGGGCAACCGGGACCTCGATGGGGCCGGTCACTTGTGGCCCCTCCGCCAGGGGCTTCTCATAGATATAGGAACCAGCACCCCCGATATTCACTCCTGGAGATGGCAGGCACTTCGGGTGGGTGGCCGGTGGCCTCGCCCACTTGCAGCCCTCACACTTGAAAAGGCTCCCCCAGCCCACCTCCCACCGCCCTCCAGGAAGTTCCCTGGGACCATTCCTGAGGGAAGCTTGGGAGGCGTAGGGCTTCAGAGGGTGGGAGGGCTGCCGGAGAGGGCCCCAAGTGGGCCTAGGGGAAAAGAGGCTCCACAACCCTGGGGACCCCCAGCCTTCCAGGGAAGCCTCCCCACCTGCCCAGAAACCCAGGCGCACCCCAGTGCTGGCCTGAGGAGCCAGGTGGCCTCCACTTTGGCACGGGGCCCCTGCTCACCTTTTGGTCCGAACAACGTGGCATAGCAGGGCTTGTGGCAAAACGGCTTCCCATCGTGCTAGGCAGAGGAGCGGGGTGAGGGACACCCTGGAATGTGGCCCAGAGACGCCAGCCAGCCCGCCCGCCCGCCTGTGCCCTCCCACATCCACACGGAAGCAGGGGACTCACCTCAGCGTGGCCCCCGGGAGTCAGCGTCTTGTTGCAGCGCTCACACTTGAGGCAGAACTTGTGCCAGTCCTTACCCAGAGAGCTCACCTTCTCGGCTGCAGTGGGAGAGGATGTCAGTGCGGGACCCCACAGACCTGCAGGGCAGCTACCTGCCTCTCTGCTTTCCAGTCTCATTCACCCTGCTTGGCAGCCACCACCCCCCACAAGCTCCAAGTCACCTCCTGTGTTCCACTTCCTAGGTGCTCCAGGCTGAGCAGTGCCTTCCACCTGGCTGCACCCCCTTAGATAAATTCTATTAGCCTCAGGTCAAAGGCCTTCACTGGGTCCCCCACCCAGCCTCCAGCTCCAGCTCTCCCTCTGGGTCTGGGTCACTCCACACCCTAGAATCACATGCTTCATCCCCCACTCCCATCTACTAGTGGTTCTGTCTCAAGCACCTGTTAAACTCTCAACTCCTGCTGGGACTGTACTAGTGTTTACATCCATCCACCCCTCCCACACTTGCCTCACACATACCTGCCTTCACACACACCTGTCTTACCTACACACCTGCCTCACACACACCTGTCTCCCCTACACACCTGCCACAGACAGCTGTCTACTCTACACACCTGCCTCACACACACCTGTCTCCCCTATACACCTGCCTCACACACACCTGTCTCCCCTACACACCTGCCTCACACACACCTGTCTACCCTACACCTGCCTTCACACACATCTGTCTCCCCTACACACCTGCCTCA